GGGGGGGGTGGATGGGGAGGTTGCGCTTTCAGTTTGGAGACAAAAGATGCTCTCCTGCCCCAGTTCCCTGTTTTTTCTACTTTGTTTCGGCTAGTGTAATAATATCTCCATCTGGTATTCCCTTTTCCTTTACCATTTTTACTCTGCACATGGTAGAATCTTATTAGTTAGACATGGATTTGCTTTTAAGCAAACTTGAGGAAAATGGTACTTTTATTATTGATATTCTAGTTACTTTATCTGATGATATCGTAGTCTTGGTTGAGATTCCAAAAGAGAAAGCTGAACTAATCTGGGTATCTCTAGAATTGGACCACAAGTACAAGTATGGAGGCCAAGGATGCAAGTAAGCATTTGTGGTCACTCGGTTCATTCCTTGATATCACACCCGCAGCATAATTCTTGTTCGATGGTCCATATCGATAATTGCGAGTTTGCTAGTAAGTAGGCTATTATGTTTTTCTCACATATAGAGTTATGAAAATGAATTGGATTGTATTGTTTGACGAGATTCAAAATGTGAGGGTCAAAATGTTTAATTTTCAGTGAATATCCTCAACATAAAGAACAAAGAAAAATATAGCTGGAGTAGATAAATCAATGTGTTTCGACAAAATTCTTGGCAAACAATGTGTGCAAGTTCATGTTAGCTGTCCCAGAAAAGCCATGCTCGTTAAAAAAAAATAGAAAAACTTCTGGTGAATTTTCTTTCTCTACAACAACAACAACGATCCAGTGAAATCTCACTAGTGGGGTCTGAAGAGGATAGTGCGTATGCAGACCTTACCCCTATCCCGAAGGAGTAGAGAGGCTGTTTCCGAAAGACCCTGGGCTCAAGAAGACAAAAAGACAAAAGGAGACTATCAGTAACACCACATAAATAATATGAAAAACAGGGACAACATGAAATCAAGAAGAAAGGTACAAAGCAAAAGTAAAATAGTATCCCTACCACACTAGTCTCATAAAGTTATGACATAAGGCAAGACTCAACTACCTCCTAACCTACAACCCTAATATTCGACCTCCACATGTCCCTATCAAGTGCCATGTCCTCGGAAATTTGAAGTCTCGCCATATCCTGCCTAATCACCTCCCCCCAATACTTCTTATGCCGCCCTCTACCTATTCTCGTGCCCTCTACAACCAGCCGTTCGCACCTTCTTACCGGAGCATCTAGGCTTCTCCTCTGAACATGCCCGAACCATCTAAGCCTCGCTTCCCGCTTCTTGTCATCAATGTGAGCCACACACACCTTCTCCCGAATATCATCATTCCTAATCTTATCCATCCTACTATGCTCGCACATCCACCTCAACATCCTCATTTCTGCTACCTTTATCTTCTGAGTATGTGAGTTCTTAACCGGCCAACACTCAGCCCCGTACATCATGGCCGGTCTAACCACCGTTTTATAGAACTTACCTTTGAGTATCAATGGCACTCTCTTGTCACACAATACTCCAGATGCTAACCTCCACTTCATCTATCCTACCCCAATACGGTGTATGACATCCTCGTCGATATCCCCTCCCCCCTGGATAACCGACCCAAGGTACTTGAAGCTGCCTCTACTCGGGATGACATATGATTCAAGCCTCACATTCACACCCACTTCCCCCTGCTCAACGCTGAACTTACACTCCAGGTATTCCGTCTTCGTCTTGCTAAGCTTGAAACCCTTAGATTCAAGAGCCTGTCTCCAAACCCCCAGCCTCTCGTTAACACCAGTTCGCGACTCGTCGATTAGAACTATGTCATCGGCGAACAACATGCACCATGGCACATCCTCTTGAATGTGGTGTGTTAACGCGTCCATCACCAGGGCGAATAAGAATGAGCTGAGCGTAGAACCTTGGTGTAACCCCATAACAACCGGAAAAGCGTCAGAGTCGCCTCCTACTATCCTAACCTGAATCTCTGCCCCATCATACATGTCCATAATCGCCATAATGTAGGGAACCGACACGCCTTTTGCCTCCAAGCTTCTCCAGAGAATTTCTCTAGAAACCTTGTCATACGCTTTCTCTAGGTCACTAAACACCATGTGCAGGTCTTTCTTCCTATCTTTGTACTGTTCAACCACCCTCCTAACAAGGTGTATATCTTCTGTAGTAGAACGACCCGGCATGAACCCAAACTGGTTGTCGGATACGGACACTGTCATCCTCAACCTCGCTTCAACTACCCTCTCCCACACTTTCATAGTATGACTCAGTAATTTGATACCCCTATAATTGTTACAACTCTGGATATCACCCTTGTTCTTATACAATGGGACCACCGTACTCCACCTCCACTCATACGACATCCTCTTCGCCTTAAAAATAACATTCAACAACCTAGTCAACCACTCCAAACCTGCTTTTCCCACGCACTTCCAAAATTCTACCGGAATCTCGTCGGGCTCGGTTGCTCTGCCCCTACTCATCTTACTCATAGCTCTCACGACCTCCTCCACCTTGATGTGTCTGCAGTACCCAGAGTCACCGTGACTCTTGGAATGCTCCAATTCACCTAGCACAATATCCCGATCCCCTACTTCATTAAGAAGTTTTTGAAAGTAAGTCTGTCATCTCCTCTTAATCTGGGAATCTTCCATCAATACTCTATCATCGTCGTCCTTGATGCATCTCACTTGGTCTAAATCTCAAGCTTTCCTCTCCCTCAGCTTGGCAAGCCTAAATAACTTCTTCTCCCCGCCTTTTTTCCCTAGTTCCTCGTACATACGACCATAAGCGGCAGTCTTAGCCTTCGTGACCGCCAGCTTCGCTTCCTTCCTAGCTACCTTATACCTCTCCATGCACGCACGCTTATCCTCTTCACCTATGCTCCCCACTAACGTCCGGTACGCCTCCTTCTTTGCTTCCACTTTACCTTGTACCACTTCATTCCACCACCAGTCTCCTTTGTGCTTGCCAGAGACGCCCGTCGAGACCCCTAACACCTCTCTTGCAGCCCTTATACAGTCTGCTGTCGTTGACCACATAGTGCTCGTGTCAGTACTGCTCTTCCAAGATCTATAGCCAACAACCGCCCCTCCAACTCTTGGGCTTTATCCTTAGTTAAGGCTCCCTCCAGATTCTCGGTCTTCCTCGAGACGACATCTTCCTCCTCTTCACCATAATACCAACGTCCACCACCAAGAGCCTATGTAGCGTCACGAATATCTCACCTAGAATCACCTTGCAATCCATGCACAACCCTCTGTCACGCCTCCTGAGGAGGAGATAGTCAATTTGAGTTTTCACCACCGCATTTTGAAAAGTAACCAAATGCTCCTTCCTCTTCGGAAAGCTAGCGTTTGCAATTACCAACCCAAAAGCCTTAGCAAAGTCCAGTAACGAGGTTCCTCCTCCGTTCCTCTCCCCAAAACCGAATCCTCCATGCACTTCGTCATACCCACCTGCGGTCGACCCAATATGACCATTGAAATTCCCTCCTATGAATAACTTCTCAGCAGGTGGTACCTGACGCATAATCTCATCTAGCCCCTCCCAAAAGCATCGTTTAACCTCCTCATCTAGGCCCGCATGTGGCGCATATGCGCTAACAACGTTTAGGGTGCACTGTCCAACCACCAACTTAATAGTCATCAATTTATCATTCACTTGTCTAACCTCAACCACAGACTCTCTAAGTTCCCTATCCACCAAAATACCCACTCCATTCTTACCCTTCTAGGTTCCTGAGTACCAAAGTTTATATCCATCCACGTCCCCCGCACTCGACCCTACCCACCTTGTCTCCTGGACACACGCTATATTGACCCTCTTTTTCTGGAGGATCTTCGCCAACTCTATAGACTTACATGTCAATGTACCTATGTTTCATGACCCAATTCTCAACCGATAAACACCCTTGTTCCCTTTACCTCCCTTGCCTCCCAACCCACCCCTAGCCCCTGCCCTACCTCCCGACCCACCCCCACAAAAAGGAAAAAAAAGGCCTAACGTAATTTAGGACCAAATGAAAGTGGTGCGGTTTTATGCACCATTAACTATGTGATCTGCCACATTGCCGTAGGCTGGGAGGTAAGGTTTCCACATTTGCTAGGTTTCATATGAAAGTCAGGTGAGGTGAAGTGGGCATATGTGAAAGGTCTAATGGCCGGTGAACGCGAAGCATAAGAGCTAGCATGGAGCAAAATCCAAAGAAGCCTAGAATTGTTTCGTTCCTTATTTTTTTCTTTTCTTTCTTTTCATGGATATAAGCA